GCTGTGATATCGGTGTCCGATACACCCGGACACGTGTCCTTTGTGTGCCACCTGCACGTGGAGCGACTGCGTGAGGAAGAGGCACAGCGAGGTTACTGCTGCTGGGTGCCTGGGCAGGGGGAGGGGGTGCTGGCCTGGGGGTTTACACCTCGCTTGGTGGATCTGGGAGGTGCTGTGGCTTAAATGAGTTGCGGGAAGGATTTGCACCTGCGTTGCGGGAAGGCGGGGGTATGTGTGAAGCCGTTCATCTAAATCTGGAGTAGGAATGCTTGTGCTGCATTTGGATACCATGTTAAACCCCCGAGTGCTTTAATCTGTAACCTTGCTGAACCTGTTACAAAACCTGTTACTGAAATGAACTCGTGTTCCCCAGGAGATGAGGATCCTGACCTTGATTCACAGAAACACTCTAGTTTAGTGGAGGGGAAGCAAGTTTCAGATTGTAGGGGCTTAAGATGGCCCAGAAAAATGGGCTGTGCTGCAGCAGAGGAATTTGGTCGCTGCTGATGGCATTGCACCCTCAACCCAGCATCTTATGTAGACATTCCTGCAGCCCCACGAAAGCTGCCGGGGCATGTGTGCCCTCGCCCGGGCTGCTCTGAGCTGGGCATCCGTTTAGTTTTTATGCCAAGCAGTAAGAACGAGACATTCCCGTCTCGGAGCAGGTGACCCCAGAGAAGGTCTTGTATGGGTGCCTTGTCCTTCTGGGTTTCCTGCACTCCAGCAGTGATGTCTGTGTCCTTTCTCGGCAGGTAACAGAGGAACCACAGCTGGGAGCTCGGGAGACGCGCTCGGGAAGGCACTAGCTTCAGTAAGAGTTTCTGCGGATCCTTGACCTGGTCCTGTCCTGTCGCAGTGCTGGACCTCTCCTCTATAACGGACCCATTAGGCAGTGGGGAAGATGGACACGTTGAGAAGTTTGGGTGAATGCACCCTGAAAACACAGCAGCTTCTGAGGGGGAGGGTTTTCCCTGCTCTGTGCTGCCATCCTGAGTCCTGGTGCTGTGCAAAAGCACCTTCTGGCAGATGGGGAAGCTGAGGCACTGGATGCTGTGGTGTCCCCGCAGACCCATGCCCACGAGCTGGCTCTGCAGCCGCCCAGCCTGGCACTGCGCTGACGAGATGATCCTACGCAGCCCTCATCGCAGGACTAGCTGGTCCCAGTAGTCCTGTCCTGCATGTGCTGGTTCAAACTGGAAAGCACTGGTCCTACTGGGCTGTCACAGCTTAGGATTGCCTGTGTCCTGTTCAGCGCAGGCACCTTTGCTTCTGCATGGTGGCAGGGGGGTGCTCAGCACTGCATCGTCAATAATGTCCCAGTGCTCTCGCTTCCCTCCAAGGCAGGACCTGGGGGACAGAGGCTGTAGCTGCAGAGGTGGTGGCAGTGGGCACAGAGAGAGACCCTGGTGCTAGTGGGGGCATGCAGGGGGACTAGCAAGCTGGGCCACCGCCCCAGCCGGGAGCTGGCGGGGAAGGCCCTTGCTGCACCTGGGCTTGGGAAGAGCCATCGCAGGGTTGGGCGCTGCTGACCGTGCCCTGCTTCTCTCTCTCCAGATTTATTCCCCCGATCACTCGAGCAATAACTTCTCGTCAAACCCTTCGACACCAGTCGGCTCCCCTCAGGGGCTTGCAGGTAGGTTAAAAATCGCGGCTTTCTGCGTGAAGGGGGATGTCAGGTTTGCTTTGAGGAGGTCCAGGCTTCCCAAATCAGCCCCAAACCCTCGTTGCAGACTCTCTTGGTAATCCTGGTAAATCCCACGGAGGAGGAAGTACAAGCAAACTCGAAGATACTTGTTGAATCTCTGCTGTGATGTTGCATGTCCGTCTGCTTGAATCGGGTGTAGCTTCTCCCCAGTTTGGAGCCGAGTAGTGCCTGGGGGTGGTGAATGCCACACACCTGAGGGCAATGGCTCTGCCTCTGCCTGGCTTTGGCCCTGCACAGGCGTTTCGGCAGGTGGCTGTTCCAGAGGCGCGAGCCTGGCCCACGCGGCAGCACTGCTCCATGCTTGGGTGACGTTGCTGCCATTGCCCGGTACCCACTCCTGACGCTCAGATAGAGCCTGTCCCTGAACGTCCCGTCTTGGGGAGGCCAGGGCAGTTTGTGCCTGGTTTTGTGTCCCGTGGGAGGTGCGCAGTGGGAACTGGGAAGCAGCCATGTAGTTAAAGACCATTTTCAGTGCCAAATGAAGGCCGGTCTCTGCTCCCGTCCAGTGGGAGAGGTGTTGCTTCTGCCCAGCGGAGCTGGTGACGAGACTCCGCTGTGCCTGGGATGCAGAGCCTGGCAGCCTGCTGCTCCCTGGGCTCGGAGCGAGGACCGCCTGCGTGCCAGCTGCTTGCTCACCGCCACGGTACACATTTAGAAATGTCTGGAG